GGGGGGGAACAGATTTGACGTGTGATCTTACTTTATTTGGTCACACAAATGCCTTTATTTTTCACTAACTGTGATCTGATTGGTTCTTGCTTTGTAGCTCCGCCCCCTCCAAAACGAGCCCCCAGCACCTCATTGACACTCCGATCCAAGTCCATGACCGCTGACCTGGAGGACATAGGTAAAGCGCACACACACACACACACACACACACACTCACACAGTGCAGAGTTAAGTTAAACTGTAGGAGTGCGTGTTGTTGACCTCTGTTCTGTCTGCAGCCAGGAGGAGACGCTACGGTGAGTCGCATCTGATCTGATGATGTCATAGTTGTTGTTTGTGGCGTTTGTTGATGTGATGCGACACTGTAGTACACATGGATGTTGATCTCATGGCATGATGTTGCACTGATGTCATGGTGTGTCAGTGATGTAACAGCCAGGGCCGTAGCTGACGCATGTCCTCGCCAGTGTTGCAGGAAGTATTCAGAATAAAAGTACTTTTAACACAAACAGAGTTGATCCAAAGTGCTCTGACAGCACACACGGAAAAAAAGTGAACGCAAAAGGAAGGACAGAAACAAAAATTTGAGTGATAATAGCAATAAAGTAATAACAGTAATGATAACATGTCATTAGTGTTGTTATTGCACTGATAGCAAAAACTGCATCCTTGTTGTTATTTTGTCGCCACACTGTCAGTAACAGCAACAGTGACAATCACATTAGACGTAGAGAAGACGTTAAACCACCTGTAGGGAGGGAACATTTATAGAAAATATATGTGAACACTTCAGGTAATAAATAAATGTGAAATTTGGCTCTTTTTTTATTTGAGTCCTGGCTACAGCCTTGCTGACTGATGTCATGTTGTTGTTGTTGTTGTTATGGTCGTGTCGTGATTTTGTGTTTCATTATTTTTATTTTTTTTGTATTTTTTGTTTTGTTTTGTTTTTTATTTTGTTTATCTTGTTTTTTTTATCATGTCTCCTCCCTGCAGAGAAACTGGATGAGATGTTGGCCGGGGGTCAACAGGAAGTCGTTCTGAGGGGTCGACCGTCAGACGACTTCAGAGCGGCGACAGTGAAACAGAGACCGACCAGCCGCCGAATCACACAAGCTGAGATTAACGTAAGACTACCAGCAACATTACTGCGACTTATAGTTAGTGCTATATGACGAGTATTAAAGGCTGTAAAATATCCAAACATCAGGTGTGTATTAATGACTGTCAGGGACATGATTTCTGAAGATCTTAAGATGGATAGTTCTGCATTTAAGGGTGAAGTCTGTGCATACAGTCACTCTCAGTGATTCCCAACCTAGAGGATGACCCTCACAAGCATGGGCAGAATACCAGACAATGGGCCCCTGGGCACAGATGTGCAAAAGGCCCCACCACCTCTCCTACACAGAAGCAAGACACACAGATTTTGTGGTGGTTTTGCATCATTTTTTTGCAGAGTTCCTGGTATTATTTGGGGGGCAGGAACTACTACAGCAACGTCCTCTCGCTCTGCCCTCTCAACCACCGTGTCTCCACTGAGAGAGCGGAGTAGGAGGAAGGTTCCTGTAAAGTTACCGGGCTCTCAATGTGACGTAATCGTTGTGTGACCATTTTGACCGGGGCGACGCGGCAAAGAATCACACAAAGAAGAAGAAGCAGAAGTACGAAGAAGAAACCAGACATAAGAAAGACGATTATCAACATGGAAGGAGCTGAGGTGGTTGCTGGGTTTCTGGCGTGTCTCTTCGTTTACATGGTGGTGGAAGCGATGAAGGAGAGGAGAGGACGTCTGCTGAGTTTTAAAAATGCCGGCTATTTTGCCGCCTTCTGTTGACGTCACATCCCGTCTTGAGTATATCCAATCAGCACCAAGTAATCCCCAAGCCCCAGCCAGGAGTCTCTTGGGGCCGTTCTGAGTACCTATCCCGAGGCATGGACTTGTTTAGCCCCTGTAAAAGTTCCGGAACTCTGTCCTTCGGGGGTGGTTCCTGCGGTGGTTCCTGCGCACCAACAGCCCCGGCCCCGTAAAATTACCCCGAAGTTCCTGCGGTGGAAACAGGCCTAAGGTCATTGCAAATCTGGAGAAGTCATGGACTTTCATGATCACATTTTCCAGGCCTGGAAAAGTCATAGAATTTTGTTGTGTAATGAAATTGTTACAGTAATCTTCCATAACGTAATGTAACATCGCAGTCATTTTCTGTAGCTTTCAACGCAACGTAGCTCTACGTGTGACGTTTTGTTTACCATCATGTACGTGTCTCCATTTTCTCCACACGTTTCGTCTTTCACTTCATGTGTGGCAGCTGAATTATGTTTAAATTAAGTTTGAATCTGATATGTTTGAAAAACGCCAGGCATGTAGGGGAGAAAAATGATTATGGGTCCTTGAAAAGTCATGGAAAACTTTTAAAATTTTGTCCATGAAAATGTGCGGGAACCCTGTTTGTGTCTTTTTGTCATTTTTTTGTCCATTTGTGGTAGTTTGTTCTTGTAGTTATTCTTTGCAGTTCCTTTACAACTCTCTGTGGACTTTTTTTGTCTGCTTGTGGTCAGTTTAAGTTTCTCTGTGGTCGGTACATGTTAATTTGAGTGACATTTTGCAGGTGAAAACTAGGGAGTCCTCTGGTTTTTTGGGGCCCCAGGACCTGTTCTTGGTAGGCCCGTTCAGTTTTCCATCCATGCCCACAAGGGTTCACAAGATAAATCTCAGAGGTCCTGAGGGGAATTAACTGAAGAGGAACCAGAGAGATATTGCTGCCGCACAGCATCATTTTTCTTGTAAATCGCAGCCTAACTTAACCCTTTCAGTACAGTGACCCTGAGAGCTCGACGCACTGCAAAGTAAGAAAACACAGCAATAACCTGACGACTATATTAAAATGTACATTTTGAGTTTGTGTGTTTGTGTCTGCAGTCGTTGTTCGAGCGTCAGGGTCTGGTGCCCCCCTCAGCTCCAGAGAAAAGCACCATGGCTTTACCCCGAGGGATGTCCAGGACCAAGAGCTTCGGTAAGACACACACACGCACACACACACACACAGAGGTGGTATTTTATGCACATAAGTACGAGAGATGGTGGTGGAAGAAGTACCAAAATTGAAAGTACTCATTAAGCATTTATATACATTATTTATGTTCAGTCATAACCCTAACCCTAACACATTTGTTTGTTTATTTAGTTTTAAATATCTGTTGGTTACTTTTATTTTAACGTTTCCACGGCAGGCACGCCTGAGGACGACAGGATCTCAGCGCTGATCAATGAAAGTCGGTTTCCTCGGAGCTCCTCACTGACAGACAGCTTCATCCCTCCTCCTCCTCAGACAGCTCCACCCCCTCCTCCTTCCGCCTCCGCTTCCAGCACCTCAATCTTCATCCTCGACTCTGGCCCTCCCCCCTCCTTCCTCCCGCCTCCTCCCCCGGCCAGAGGGGACGGTCTAACCCGCTCCAGCTTTAAGCCGGGGGCAGAGCCGAGGCTCCAGGAGCTCTCCGATTCACCGACGAGGAGCCACGCCCACGCTGAGCGTCAGAGGAAGGCGAGGTCCATGATTATCCTGCAGGACACGCCACCGCAGCTGCAACCTGATGCGCACGCCGCCGCCGCCACGCATACGCTGCACACCGCCACGCACACTGCCACGCACACGCTTCACACCGCCACACACACCTCCACGCTGTCTCTCCACAGCACCAGCCCCGCCCTTGGCCACTCACCACTGTCACGCCGCCGGGGACGACCAATAGAAAACCCCTATGCTAACGTGGGACAGCAGGCTGCACCCTCCAAGCCACAGAGGAGGAAGTCACCTTTGTTGAAACAACTTCCTGTAGAGGAGCAGGGTCAGGATCGCTCACACCTGTTGTCTTACTGAGTTATATTTGTGTTAGCAAGTTAGCCAATTAGCCTAGTTAGCTACTGCTACATGTCAGAGGCTAGCTAGCTACCTAAAAAGTACAGACCATCTTATAAATGAAATTTCATTGCGGTTACAAAAACTGTACAAGCTATTTCCTGTGTTGTCCTTATCATTTCCCAGTGCTTACCTACTGACCGTTAATTTACTTGTGATCAAACTGGAGACACAACAGCCAATCAGTTTGTGGGAAATCTTGGAAGCACACAGAAAAGAAAATTTGAGAGTTTATTATTTTGAGCTAAAATGGATAATAGGAAACAAGCAAATAATTGAGTACTGAATTGATTTTTTTTGTTTGCCAAAATTAAGTTGTTTTTTTTCCTTTAATTGTTTCTCTACAAAATAAAATTCATGTGCTTGCAGGAAACATTTTCATGCACTCAAAATGTCTCATTACGTGCTCAGGATTGAGTCACAAATTGAATGCTGTAGACTCTTAATCATCACTCCCACCAGTCTGACTCCATATATTTTTATTCTTCTAGGACTTGGAATCAAAGATCATGATTTGTTGAAAGTAGACGGAGGTGGACCCAGCAGCCCCAGTAGGGCGGAGCTGTACCAGCAGCAGGTCCTTTCAGAGCGCGCTCGGGTTCAGGGTCGCCGGTCATCTCTCTTCCTGTCTGTGGAGGGAGCCGGATCAGAAAACCAAGTGCCGCCCCTGCTGACTCAGAGCCATTCGATGGACGACCTCGGCGAGCTTCCCCCTCCTGCCCCGGTCCTGTCACCCTCACCAACGCCTCACACCTTCCTCCACCCATTGACTGGGAAGCCTCTAGGTCAGTCTGACAGCACATTCTGGATGCATTCTGTATGACAATAATCAATTCTGGGAACTAAAGCACTACCTTTCTCCAACTTCTCCAAAGTTCTATGTCACTGGCATAGCATTGAAAAGAAGTGCTATGATTACATAGGATTTTGCCGATTCAAAGTACATAGTCAAATTAAAGATAGGACAGGGCCTTGAGGTACTTCACAACATCGAAAAGGACAAGGCTAGAGCCTTGACATATTCTGCAAAATAGAAAAAGACATAGGCCAGAGCCTTTAGGTATTCCATAAAAGAAAAAAAAGACCAGTGCCTTACTCCACATAAGTGTTCAGGACATAGGATAAAGCCTTGTGGTACTCCACATATTAAAAGCAAAGCTAGGACAGAGCTTTGAGGTACTCCACAATATTTTTAGGTCCTAGGACAGAGCCTCAAGATACTTCACTACAGAGAGGGGCACCTCAAACAGAGCCTCAAGGTACTTTCACATAATAGAGGGGACCAGGGACAGAGCCTTGAGGTACACCACAAAATGGAAGGAGGTCTTAGGACAGTGCCTTGAAGTAATTTATAAAATTGGATCGGGCCTACAAAAGTACCTTGAGGGTTGTCGCGAAATAGAAGGGCACCTTGAACAGACCCTTTAGGTACTCCACAAGATAGAAGGGGAACTAGGACTAAGGTACTCCAAAGAATAGAAGATCATCTTAGACATAGCTTTTAGGTTTAACAAAATAAAGGAAGCACCTAGGGCAAAGCCTTGAAGCACTGCACAAAATAAAGGGGCACCTTGGACAGAATCTTGAGTTACTCCACAAAATGGAAGGCCAATTTAGACACAGTCTTTAGGCGTTCCACAAAATAGAGGAATGACCTAGGGCAGGGCCTTGAAGCACTGCACAAAATAGAGGGGCGCCTTGGACAGAGCCTTGAGGTACTGCACAGGTCAGAGGGGAGGTAGATGATTTTAAATGACCATGAATGATAGTAAGCTGTCTGCTGGAAAGGTAATCACTAACCCAACTGAGAGCAGTATCTGCAGCTCCAAAAATATACCGAAGCATGACATTCCATCCATACTAACACTTAGCCACCTTTAATCATCTGCTCTCTTCTCAGACCCCTCATCTCCCCTCGCCCTGGCTCTTGCTGCACGAGAACGAGCGCTAACTGCCCGCACGCCAAGCCCAGAGCCTCGACTTAAACATGTATCTGCCTCCACCACACCCATACCCACCCCAGCTGCCAGCCCCGAGGGCAGACATAAGCGCACTCCTATCACCACCCCGCAGAGCAGCCCAGAGCCACGGTCCAAACGCACTACCCCTCAGACGAGCCCCGAGCAGCGAACCAAGCGCACCACTCCTCAGACCAGTCCTGAACTGAGGCATAAACGCATAACACCGCCCTTGTTCCCTGACGGACAGGTGGAGCGTCCTGAAACAGAGGGAGGAGTGACATCACCTGCTGCCCCCTCCCCTGAACGCTGGAGACCCACCCCCTTGCCAGCGCTGGCCAATGAGACTCATGCTTTGATTGACAGGCGGAGAAGCCTCACAGTGGGCAGCTCAGAGGAGGAGGGCGGGGCTTACACAGTTACACTCCCACCGGCGTTGTTGTCGTCCAGTGATGAGGAGACTAGAGAGGAGCTTCGCAGAATCGGCCTGGTAACTCCACCTGCTGCCTTTGCCAGCCCTCCCGCCCCTCCTCCCCCATCCTCCCTCACCTTGTTGCCTCGGCGGGGCGGGGAGGGAGGGGGAGGAGAGGGTGGTCCTGACTCCCTAGGTAGGCGTGGTGATGAGGAGGAAGGAGGTGACGAACGGCTCCTCGACAGCTCCTCCTCCCCCAGTTCCCTCCCTCCCTCCATAACCTTGGCCTCCCCTCCTGCTCCAACCTCCCCCTCCTCTCCTCCTGCTGCTCACCCGTCACCCTCCTCCCCCTCCACCTCCCCATCTGCTCTTAAGCCACGCCTTCGTTCACCCATCGGTAGGGGCCGCTCTGCACTGCGGGACCCGCTGCTGAAGCAATCATCAGACAGTGAGCTCCTCCCGTCTGCTGCATCCTGCTCCTCCCCCTCCTCACCGCTCTGTTCCTCCCCCACCAGTGGTGGACGGCAGCCACGCTATCTGTTCCAGAGGAGGTCCAAGCTGTGGGGGGGCGGAGACGACCGTGATGAGCGGCGGGGCTTCAGCCCAGATGACGGGGGACGTCCAGCAGCTCTAGGAGGTCAGGGGTCAGGGTCAGCTGTGGATCTGACCAGCCGGTCGGCATCAGCTCTGGAGCTGAGCGGCAGGGCGGGGTCCGGACTGGATCTGGCTAATCGGCTACAGCTGCTCAACAAAGACAGTCACTCTCTGGGGGAGGAGCCAAGTCCCCTCGATCCAGGCCGGAGGTCACCGGTAGGAGGTGCCAGGTACTACACGATGCCTTATACTGACCTGATAGTACTACCGTGTGTGTGTGTGTGTGTGTGTGTGTGTAGGTGTGTTGTAACAGAATCTGTTGTTTGTGTTGTTCCAGATGTGTGGACAATGGAGAGAGTAAATCGTAGGTTTTTATCTCTGGTAAACATTCCCGTTATTGCTAAGAGATAATTTTCATTGGCTAACAGTCAACTAACCTGCACCTTCTTGACAGATGACTAACGACTAAATGCCTGACATGACTGTCTTATCCGTCTTTTGAATAAAACCTTGGCATTGACCATTTCCCTAACACCTCTGCCCAAAAAAATCCAGTCCAATTGTCAGCTTTGTGTTTTTCAACATGTGGTGTGCATGGTGCTGTTGTAAGAGTGATTTAAGCAAGCTGCAAACATTAGCATATTTGACTTACTAGCTAACCATCTATAATAGTACCTTAGCTTTACTTCTAAGGCTAAGAGTTAGCATAGCATTAACTAGCCCAAGTCAAACTTATTTGTTGTTTGTCCAAAGATCCACACAGGGTTATATTTGAGTGATCAATTACATTATCTGACATTTATTCTTATGATACTGTTTTATGACTCAGCAGAAAGCTAGCTTCACTATAATGCAAAAACAATGCTGGCCCTTTGTTTTCATGTCCTCTACATCGATCATTAACTGGTGAGAGTGTGTCCTGAGACATATTAGCTTTAGCCTCAGTCTTTTAGGCAAGACAAGGCAACTTTATTTGTATAGCACATTTCATACACAAGGCCAATTCAAAGTGCTTTACAGAGCAATAAAATATAAAACATGATAAAGGATACAGAAAAGAGTAAAGACAAAAAAAAAGATATAAAACATAAAATTAATTACTAAATGCTAAATTAGCTTTAACTTCAAACTGTTCAGTGTCGGGGCTGTCTAACATCATCTGGGAGGTTTTTCCAGGTTTGTGCTGCATGATAACAAAACGCTGCTTCACCGTGTTTTGTTCTGACTCTTGGGACCGTCAGTAGGTGGCTTTTAGCAATAATATTATATATGTAACGATCAAAAGCATATTTAAGACCTTTTCTCACAGGGTCCACAGTTTCAAAGGGGTCAACTATTGAGTTAACATTAGCTTTAATTATCTAACTAGCTAGCTGGCTATAGCTAGCAGTTGAGTCAGTCGGCAAAATAGAAATGGACAGCTGTTTTTGTGTACTTCTTTTTGAATTAAAAAAAACTGTTGCCTCCAAAATTAGTAGACTATTACTAAGAATAGAGTGCTGCAGGAATGGTGTTTTTCTGTAGGCCAATGCAGAAGTTAGCGTCACCATGGTTACCTCTTCAAAAAGCCTACGGGATTTTACCACTGGATTTTGGATTGTTGCAGAAAATAAGCTCTGTGGCAAACAAATGTTTGCGATACGTTTTCTTCAGCAAGACAACCATCACAAAACCACTTTCATAGTTTTTGAGACCTAAATGCAGTCACCGGAAGTAAACATCTAACATTAGGCTATTAACGAACTACACTAAAGTCACTTGACTTAAGTGTCACCACCACAATGAGGGTGTAAGGCCGTGTTTGGCGTGACAACGTTCTGTAGTCTCATTTAGCCACTTGTTAGCAAACGTCTTTTTTAAGACACATAAAATCTTTGAAACTCATCAGTGGGATATTTACTAACATAGTTTATGTCATATAGAACAAAACATTAACCACAGACCTTATTTCAGGCATCTAACCAAAACCCATTGACTTTGAGGCAAGGGAACCAGGTATGCTAACATGCTAACTCATTTACAGGTTTTATAATACATTCCTGCAGCACTTTAGAGTTGTAAATCTGCCACAGTTTTTGTGGTTATAGTTAGAAAAGAGAGGTTAACAGGTGTAGCAACAGTAATAAGCGTAGCGAGGGTGGTCAGTTAGTAACTCTGTAGAAACACCAGGTGATAACAATAAGTGATATCATTCATTCACTGTTTGATGTGTTGCAGGTTGTTCTCCAGTCTTGGTGAACTCCACACTATCTCCCAGCGAGGATACGGAGCCAGCTATACAGTCCGACCAGGAAGCCGCTACCCCGTCACCCGCCGGAGCCCCTCCCCCTCTCCCTCCCCATCTGATAGGTCAATAGGGCTTCCCTCCTCCACCGCCCCCTGCTCTGAAAGGCCAGATCTGAGCTCGGGTCGAGGTCTAACCATCCTGAAGTCGTCCAGTCTCAGCCTCCCCTCAGAACCAAAAGAGGTTCGGTTTGTGATGCGAAGCGCCAGTGCACGAACCAGGTCCCGTTCACCCTCACCTTCACCACACGCCTCTCCCTGCCCGTCCCCGGTCCTTAGTGGGCCCCTGTTGGCCCTTCGGCCATGGAGGCAGCGGCCCCTCAACCTGTGGAATAAATATGACGTGGGGGACTGGCTGGAGAGCGTGGGCCTGGCCGAACACCGCCAGCGCTTCCAGGAGCACGAGATCGAAGGCTCCCATCTCCCCGCCCTCACCAAGGAGGACTACGTGGAGTTGGGTGTCACCAGACTGGGACACCGAATCAACATCGAGAGGGCTCTCAGACAGCTGCTGGATGGTTCCACTTGACCCCTCACCTCTGACCACTAACCTCTAGACATCCTGAACTGTGACCTCATAACCTCTGACCTCTGGTCAGACACTAGGCCATCTCTTTGATTAGGATATCTTAGCAGTGACTGAATCTTTAGACCTTTTTACCAATGTTGAGCCCTCTCTGAGTGATCTCGCTGACATTTTGGCTTATCAGCTCTTTGATCGACCCGAACAGACGGGTGCCACTGAGGTCTGTGTCCAGTATTTATCTTTTTAAAGGTAAAAAGAAGTAACAGTTAACCACCAAGCTTTGTCTGAGTTGACAACCAGGCTGCCTTAGATCCAGTGTGTTCTCTTCAGTTTAAAGCCTTCTGGCAGATTTCTTACCAACAGTTCAAGTCCAACAACGCACAGAGCATAGCCATCATTTCCAATGGAGAGAACAGCTGCAGGAGCCATAACGGCGTGCACTGCTCTTTTTCCACCAGGTTTTGCAGTCAAAGATTAATTACATTGGACTTTACCTCCAAATACACCAACCACCCCAACGCAAAAATTTGATTCGGGCATTGACCTGAGAGTCAAGGAGGAGACAATTTTTGGTTCTTACTTTATACTACTAATATAATGACCAAAAATATGAAAAAACCTTAAAGTAGAAAGTTAAAGACTAACATTTGATCCATATTCGTCAGTTTTTTAGGTTTCTAGGCAGAGTCTTTGTCGTACAGAGCTGGTCCTGCATCGGTGTTCAACAAATTCATGTACGTTTTGATCTACCAGAATAGAGTGCATCAGGGATGACAGGTTTTTGTAGGCCAAAGCAGAAGTTAACATCACCCTGGTTCCCTAAACAAAAAGCCGACGGGATTTCTCCATTGGATTTTGGATTATTGCAGAAAATAATCTCTGTGGCAAACAAATGTCCATGATACTTGCACGTTGTGTTGCACACCACTTCATGATTTTGACTAAAGCAAAAAGTAAACATCACGCTATAAATGAACTACACTGCTGCTACATGACTTAACGTCGCCACCGTGACAAGGCTGTGAAGCCGTGTTTGGCGTGATGATGTGTAGTCTCATTTAACCACTTTATAACAACTGAACCGCCTTTTTTAAGACACCTGAAGGCCTTAAAATTCATGAGTGGGGTATTTAATGACGTATTTTTTTGTCATAGAACAAAATGTGAAAGTCTGTTTAGAACATGTTAACCACAGACTTTATTTCAGGCAACTAACCAACAATCAATTGACTTTGAGTCGAGGGAACTTGGAGTGCTAACATGCCGACTCAACTGGTGCCAAAATGGCTTCACAGCCAGTTACATTAAAATAAAATCCAATGTTATCTCTTAAGTTACGCTGACTGAGCTAATGAATTGAACTTTGACTCAACGAACAATCTGAAGTTATTAGTTTTACCATTATAAAAGAAAACAAGCAAATTTTCATATTTGAGAAGTCATCTGTGAATTTTCAGTTAAGCAATCAATATTTTTCTTTTTACCGTCAGTCAACTAGTTGATTAACCAATTAACTGTTTAAGCTTCAATGTAATGTTTTAGCTAATTTTGCATTTCTAGAATTTGCGTCAACTCACTTAACAATAAGACTGCAACGCTTACTTTCATCGTCAATTAATCCGTCGATTATTTTCGTAATTAATCGATAAGTTGTTTGGTCTATAAAATGTCAGAAAACGATAAAAAAATATCGATCAGTGTTCCCCAAAGCCCCAAAGTTTTGTCTAAAGATATTTAGTTTATGATCATAGAGCCGGAAAGGAGGCAGAAAATAGTCACATTTAAGAAGCTGGAATCAGAAAGTTTTGATTTCTTTTGTTTAAAAATAACTCACACCAATTAATCGATTCTCAAATTAGCTGGCGATGAATTTAATTTATGACAATTAATGGATTAATCATTGCAGCTCTACTCTCCAAAGAATTGGAGAAATTTCACCTACAGTTGCTAACATTCTGTGCTAGCTAGCAAATGTTCTGTACTAGCTAGCGAAAGTTCTGTGCTAGCTAGCAGCCTAATTTGTAAGCTAGTGAATTGTTTTCGAATACTGACGTAACGTAGCTATTAAACAGTTTTTTTTTAATTTTAATCACCAGAAAAAAATTAATTGGAATACCTGCGTTTTGACTAAAGCTAGCTCATAGCATCCACACAGTGCTCTACAGCATCCTGTTAGCATACGAAGCTAATCACAGCTGGACACAGAGCTTCACTGCTAATCTCAACAGGTGATCAAAGAGCTGATCTGACAAACTGATTACAAATATAACGAGATGGGTTCTTTTCCTCGTGCTATTCTGCTTCCCCAGACGAGTTTAGCTGAACTTTTTGCTGGCAGAGCTGGACGATTAGCGAGCTACTGGGAGTCTCTACCTTGACAACAGCAACGGGAGATTAGCTGAGGATATTTCTCCGTCTTTTCTTGTGACTTTTATTTTTTTTTCCAAATATCACTCATGAAGAATTTGTGTTTATTTTGAGTTCATATCTTGACGCCGATCATTTAGAATTTATGAATAACAAGTAATAATAATGTGGTGGTGATGACTTACAGAGTTTATAATAGTTTGGAAAATGATTTTGAGTTCCTTATGATTTGACAATGAGTTGAATTTCAAGGTCGTTCTCGGTTTTGAGATTCATAATGATTTGTCAATGAGTGTGACTTTGTGCTGATGTGCTGTGTGTTTCAGGGAGAGCTGCAGCGGAGCTCCAACTGTAAACCTCTCTGGTTTCTAACCTGCTTATCGAGGGCTTACTGTACATGGTGCTATCTGTTTAAAGCCATCTGTACAGAGTATACCTTTCCTCTTCCCCTCCTATACCGTCCCTACACACTGACACACAAAACTCTTATCTTAACCCCCCTTAACTCTGTCAATCCTAAATTAATCAACCGAGTGTGGCTGTACCTGCCATGACCATCTCACAGTAATGGTGACTCGCCAGGAACAGGCCATATATGGAGTTTCCTCCCTGCCATATTGGGGATTTCGTCCCTGCCATACGTGGAGTTTCCTCCAGACTATATATAGAGCTTCCCAGGGGCCGTAAATAGAGTTTAAAACAGACCAATTACAGTTTACGGTGTGATCACATCAAGTCACAAAATCTGTGTTTATGAGTTAAAAAGTGGTCACACCAAATTTCATTTCAGTGACAAAGGGTGTGAGTTGTATTTACTTCTAGTTGCATGTTGATCCCACCTCACAAAAGAGCCCAATATGATTGGTTCTCCAGTGTCCAGCCAATTTCATAGTGAAGGTGGAACTGGACGCCTAATTTGGGGAGTACTCTCTATTATATATCTCTGCACAGTGAAATACTGTGAGTGTCAGAGAACAACAAATGCTGCTTGGTTCAACAATAGCTATAGAAGTTGATGACATTTAAGCAGTCCTGCACAGGTCTGATTTAAAGACCGACAGTTCCAAACAGGAACCACGATGTGCATTACCACACCCGCTCCACCACCCGCACATACGACCAAAAAGTTCCACCAACACAAGATCCACAGCCCGACCCAAAACCCTACAATAACTGTGTGCTGCTGGAATAATTTCTTTAGGCAGCACGTGTAAAGTGATTATTTTGGGATGTTTCATACATGTGAAACTAAGATATTATATTTTAAAACAGAGGTAATTTAGAAAATAATATTTAAATGACTATTTTTGGCTTATTCTCTTAATATTGAGCAGCACATCTGCACAGTTAACGTGCCTGTTAGTAACACACCTGACTGATGTGCCTCTCATATTCTAACAGAGCCGACACACGAAGTCAGAGCATTAAAACATTAAAATATTCCTATTTTCATTTTATTTTTATATATTGATCATGTGATGCCCACAATCCGACCTGCACGTTCTTTTTTTTTTCACCCAAAACTGAACCTTAGTAAATTTAAGACCACCCGCGAATCACCTTTTTTGTGCGGGTCATTTGCCGCATATCCAGATACATGAGCCGATAGAGGACTCTGTAGTTCAGAGGGGCCGGGCAACATGGCCGCATTTATTTATTTTAAGCATCAAAATGCAGAAAGGCTAAAACCTGATTGAAATATACTCTGAAGGTTATCAGTTGCAGGATTAACTATATAAAGATGGACGACATGTCTTCAGCTTCTGGCTACTGCACCAAAGTGAAGCCAAAATATCCTGGATACAGCTGCTGCCATCTGGCATTAGTGAAGTCATTTGGAGCCAGAGTCTGCGCAGTAGTTTTGAGTATTGAATTCTGCCCGACCCAACTGCAAGTAGCGCCATTGATCCTGAGCACACACATGACACACACAGCTGTCAATCAGGACATCAGACCCCCATTTATAGCATCAAATAACAAATTAAAACCAAACTTGTCAGAAAAATGAACAAACATCAGTGTGATGAGAACTGCGTAAAATCTTCTCTGGGGAACATTTACTTCATGTGTACTTTGAGATTGTAGTTTGGCCCCATCTGTCCTGTCCCCAAACATGGAGGGGGCAGGCTTTATGACCAATACTGCAGCCAGCCACCAGGGGGCGATCCAGATGTTTTGGCTTCACTTTTGCAGAGCTGTCCAGGCTGCCATGAAGTGCACCGGGCTTTGAAGCCAATTTTATATAGTGGCTAAGCATGGAATTACAACTTCCTGGTCCATCATGGAATACCGCTGGGCCCGAAAAAGACTTTTCCCATAGATGTGAAAGAGACGTCTGTAAATTAGCGTATACATTTTATAGAGCATCACCAACCCTGTGAAATGACTTGTTCCACCATCAGAATTTGATCCATTCAGTCTGATAACATTTGGAAAGTCTGGAAGGGCCATATGATTCTATAATTTTGTACCCAGTGAAATTAGCTGAGCGCTAAATGGAAGTAGCCAGCTCGGCTAGCGTAAGTCTTTAGTGCGTCTGCTGCATTGGCCCAGAAGATTCAGGTAAATCTACACTTGTCAGTTGAAGTTTTCTGGCTTCATGCGCCACTGAGCAGCTTCCATAAGAATTAACGGGCTTAGCGTCCAACGCTGTATCCAGTTCTCTTTATACATCCATGGAGCTGTCATGTCGTCCATCTTTATGTAGCCTACAGTCATCGATCCCACAATATGCTCCTGCTGTTTGTGTCTCTCATATCTGCAGCCTCTTTGTGCACGTCGTTATAACTTGATTTTGAACACGTAGACATTTCGTGCAAACTCAAAACTTCATCAGATTTGGATATTTTGCCCAGACCTACATGATAGCGTTAGATAAGATTGATTTGATTTACTCTTTTTGGATTGCTATTGCGACCATGCCAGCCATGCTAACTGACGCACTTTATACTTAAAGCCCTGCACACACAGCACGACTGTCGAGCTTTTCACCACAGTATGCAAGTAAAGTTCACCTTTCAAAATCTGGTCTGACTGCACCGTTAAAAACATTAGTGGACACAACTCTTACAGAAACTGTCCCTGCTTTTGTGATCTTAAAGAGAGACGGATGAGGAGACTTATATCTGTGTGTCCAGGACGTGTTTAGCTTAGCTTAGCACAAAGACTGGAAGCAGGAGGAAACTGCTAGCTTAACTTTTCTCTTTTAAATCAGAAGTTAATAATCACAAACTGTTGATTTTAACTGACGGAGACACTTGTTGTCCTCGTCTTTGCTACACCTCCCTCTTGTCTTAATAACTTCACACAGCAAACTAATTTCACACTGCTGTCAAACTACCTAACACGGGATCGCCCTCTGAAGCACAATCAACGTTCCAGTGCCTGTTTCCAAGACAACAAATCTACAGCGTTTATGACGCTTTTTATTCCCAACTGAAGAACCTGAACACGAGCCAAGACCACAATCATGAATCCCAAAGTTGTACAAGTTCACAGTGCCCTTTAGTACAGAGGTAAAGAATGTATAGTCTATGTACAGCACATTACAGTAGACTCTATAGTCTGTTTAATATATATTATGGTAGAATGATGTAGCTATAGTGTAAAATATAAAGTATAGTAGACAATAAAATGTATACAGTAATATTTTGGTAGACTGTAGTCTATAAAGTCTTTAGCTGCGTGTGATATTCAGTCGTAAACAGACACACATCAGCTGTTTATCCTCTATGAATCCAAGAGTTTATATATATTTAAAAAATAATAATAATTTAACTCAAAACCAACTTGTATGATTAATTAAATTATATCTGAGTTCATCATGCTAGTTTGTAGTGTTCTGAGCAAGAGTCTGTTCAGTCTGATCTGAGCAACACTTCCCCAGAAAGACGTATAAAAACAGAAATCAGATCCCGGCAGCGTGAATCCAAACCCGTTAACTACATCTGAATTCTTTCTAATCTTTTATCAGTTCTTGTTAAATTGAGCTTAAGTAACTAAAGTTCACCGTCTGGCTGTCAGCACTTGACCCCGTATTTATTTCAGGTAACTTAGCGTCTCTTAGAACCTTGGTTACGCATGTAACTCCCAATTGGAGTTGTAGTTTGAAAAGAGAGCTGTGATTGGGTCACATTGATCCTGCGTGCAAACTAAAAACATCTTCAGGCCCCGATCAGACAGAGCACTTTTTACAGGATGAAAAACACGAGGCGCACCCATACAGTGTGTAAAAATAACTGACGTAGCAACCGTGACGTCACCCATTGATATGTTTTGTTTCCTAGGATGGTGAAAGCATGACCCGCCCTACTCTGATTGACTTACCCAGATGTTTTTACCCCTTGTCAGAACCGCTGTTACCCGCCATGCCTAAACCCGACCCACCCACCCAACAGGCGATGAGTGCTAGCCAATCAGAGGGAGAGTAGGGCGAGTCATGCCTTCGCTATCCTAGGAAATGCAAAGTCACATCATGTTTTCAGCATTTTGACCGTCGCCATCTTGTTTTTTTGGAGCCAGAAGTGACCATATTTGGATGAGAGGGTGGAGCTACAGAGGAGCGAGGCGTGGATCTGACTCGTAGACTTTGTTGATGGATCGCAGGCGGCCAGACACTCAAAGACTGGCCCGCTTCTCAGTTCATCCAATCAGACAATGAGAAAAACACAACATCGGGCGCTTTTCTGCTTGAGTTAAATTTTTTCAGCTTAAGGTGTTTAGGTCGCTCCTGCAAAAACGCCAGGTGTTTAGCAATACAAACGCAGTGAGCAAAACTTCTAAAAATGTCTCTGACTGATTGGGGCCTTCAGAACATGGTTTATATTTCCACTACACAATGAAGTTTCACTACGACAATCAATTTATATGTACTGTCAACAGTCGTGTAGAATTACGTCGTCTTTTTTACAACGTTAACTCACAGAAATATGCGCTTACAAAAATTTGCTTGGCAAAACAGCTGGATGGAAAAGCAAAAGTTGAACTATAGGTTCACATTTTTTGCCGAACATGGGGTTTTTGTTGTTTTTGGCATTTTATCAAGCCTCAAAATGCAGCGCGAATGTCGACCCAACACTAGCGTGAAATGCGAGTTGGAATGCCGCCAGTGTTGAAAGCACATTGGTTAAAACCGAAAAGGACGACTGAAAACAAGCTAACGTCAAGGAACTACAGAGCACCTGTCTGCGCCTTAAAATGTTACCTCCATTTGCTAACGTTCTGGGGTAGCTAACAAATTAGTTTTTTTTAAAGAATACTAATGTAAAGCAGCAAATTTTGCTTTCTGAGTTCAGACAAATTTAAATATTTGAAGCGAGTAAGCTAATCAGGATTTGTTAAGATGCTCCTAAAGTTAATTAACATTGTTCAAAGGATCGAGACAGCTGATTAAAGATGCTCAGGTTGAAGTTTGGGGCGGGCTTGAAGCTAACTAGTTGGTATGAAGTGCTGTTCGTTCACCTCAAGGCAAAGAAAAGGTGTGTGTAGATGTTCAGATGGCGGCAGAAGACTTCCTGCCATATAGAAGAGGATGCAACGAATCATACGTAGAAAAGTTCGTACTTGCTCTCCTCCATATATGTAAATGCTGCTGATGTAGGCGAGATTATCAGGCTGCTGGTTTGGGAAAGTAACAAAAATATTCCTATATTCAGTCTTCAGATAAAACGGAGAAGTGTCCTGATGTCCTCAGAGTTTAGATTAATTGACCTTCTTGACATCATTTATCTTTATAACCACAGAAGAAGAAGAGCGCGCTGGTGTGCAGCTGTTCCACAGAGTGAATATCACACACATCACATACACACTAAATGTGTAGTATATATTATAATGGACTATAGTCTACTGTACAGAGTCATCCACAGAGTGAGACGTGGGCTGTCGCTTTCTCTGCAGTGTAACAGTGATAATCAGCGATGGTGAGGTCATGTGACCTCGTAACCTCTGACCTCAGGTCCCCCACCCTGTACACTAATAGAAACATGAGGTCATCCACTTGTTGTAGGATTTCTCAGCCAATCAGGAACCAGCAAACCTGCTGCAAAAAGTCTCGTCAGTGACGTGACGATGAAGTGAGGTCGGCGGTGTTCCTCCACCTGGAAAAGTAGTTCCTTTTGTTGTTTTTATTTTTAGCTGAAGTTCTGCCTTCAAAATTAAACCAGTGTAACAGATTGTTCAGAGTCGAGATAAACACATGAATCAAAGTTTATTCAGCAGCAACATGTTTTTTGTTTTTCAAATCCCTGAGTCACCAGTCCATCTGTCGGGTTCGGGCTCTGCGGGTGACTCACGAATGAAGTTTTTCTGCCTGGTCCCGATTTATTTTCACCTATCACCAGACAGTTAATCAGACCTTTGTCTCCACAGCAGACAGTTTGTGAAAAGGGAGGATTTGTTTTGGCTTCTCTGGTTTCAAGTAAAAATCCTGTTTGTGTTTTTAATAGACGCTATCAGGTGACTGACAGTTTGAGGTTTTAAAGTCCTGGATGGACAGGTGAACTCTCGTAGCTGAATTATTTGTGCAAAAGATGAACAGTTATGTCAGAAAAATATCTCATTCTTTGATTTAAAAAAAATCAAAGGTATGAGAAGCCTGTCGACATAAAAACTGAAGGAGAGAAATCAACTGTAACTGTAAAGTATAATATAATCTGCAGTTGAAAGGAACTCCGCAGCTTCTAACGGCTGAAAATTACATTCTTACGAATCACTTACGACTGATTTTGGAAAGTCAAATTTTCCCCAAAGAAAAGACAGTGGAAAATATCTGAGTACATTTAGTCAAGAACTGTACATAAATACAATTTTAGTATTGTAGTATGTTACGCTACTTTATACGTCACTACATATCGCAGAGAAATATTGTACTTTGTGCTCCGCTACATTTTTTTAGGGAGCTGTAGTTACTTTTCAAATTTATTATTTTACAAACCGAACATGACGGATTTATGAAAACTGATCCACTGTTAACAGATCAAACTATAAAACGTATATAAAGTAGTTAAAATTAGTTCGTCAACATTAAAGTATCAGCTGACATATTAACACATCGATAATAACAACTCTGCGTTGTGAGTACTTTTACTTTTGATACTTTACGTACATTTTGTTTTAAATACTTTTGTAGTTTTCTGTGAAATTTTGAACGCAGGACTTTTACTTGTAATCGAGTATTTTCTTATAGTAGTACTTTTACTTAAGTTAACGATTTAAATATTTATTCTATCGTTGTTAATTAGAACGTTTTAACAGTCGGAGACAAAATGTCAGAGTATTAACAAGAGGCTGACAGGAGACGATCGTATAAAAAGATGGAACCAAGAGCCACAATTGCCGCCACTGCATATCTGACAGCGTTCACCATGGTAACGCCTCAGCTTCCTGCTGATTGGCTGAGAATCCTGGCTTTCTAACCTGCGTGTGAAACCCTCCTCCTCCTGATACTCACCTGGTTATAATGGTTTTATGGTTACCTTCCTCCTCCTCCTCTTCCTCTCTAGCTTCCTCTTTTTACAGTATGTTTGTAGTTTCTTCTGGAGTGAGTGGTGTGTGTACTTGTAGTTTTTTTCTTCCCTTTTCTAAAAACTGAAGAGCACACAAACGACAACTGATGAGCTCTGCAACGCAACAGATTGTAATCTTTATAATAAACTGTCATTTATTACAAAGTTAAACAGCCGTGACTTCCTGTGTGGTTCTTTCACAATAAGAGCTGTCGGCTCAGGTCAAGGTGTGTTGGTGACCTCTGACCTCGTTTAGATCGTTTAGATGATTCTACCTGAGCTTCAACAGTTTGATAATCTGGTATCAAATATAATTCAGTTCTGATCTCCAGGTTCAAAGGTTTAAAACAGTCTGTCTTATGTTTGTAAATGTGAAGCTACAGTTAGCAGTTAGCGGTTAGCAGTTAGCTTAGCACAAAGACTGTAAACAAGTGGAAACTGTTAGCCTGACTCTGTCCAAAGAAAACTAAACCCACCCAGCAGCTCCTCTGAACATCACAGATCATCATGTTAAATCTTATTTCTATAACTTATAGTAATAAAATTAGAAGTTGTGGTGTCACGCGGGGTGATGTGCAGAATCTGCTGGTTGCCTGGCAACAAGACAAACAAGAAATCACTGCATCTGACCAGGAAATAGATCCTGCGTATAGTTCAGGAGATTATTCTCAGACACAAGTCGAGTCTGAAGGCGAACATGTTGAGACCGGCTCGTGTTCAGGCTGTTAGTTAACAGTATGATTATAATATTTAGTTGTGTGGAACTATTATTATCATCCATACTTATTATTGTGCCACAGTTTTATTGGCTCACAGCTAGTCCCACAGTTTCAGAGCAACATATTCTTAATTTGTTGGCCAAATATTTAACATGTGTGCTTTGAGTTTTAGCAGCAATCAAACAAACATTAGATTTTTCTGTGATTGAATTAGTATAAAATGTTCCTTTCTCGTCCAACGTCTCCAAAACTACAAACACTGCAGACTCCAAACTGTCAGTCTCTGTGATTTTGCTCTCAGCTGATTAAAAAAGGCACCAACAGTGCCACTGTGTGGTCAGAGTAAGAGCTTTGTTACAACTAAAATACAGACACTGAAGGATTGTGTAAAACTTCATGGCATTTCATTGTTAAGTAAAATTTGATTTGACTTGATTTAATTGAATTTAAATTAATTCAATTTAATCTAAAAAGATTAAATAATAAATAAAAATAAACAGTGGTGGAAGAAGTATGCAGATCTTTTACTGAAGTGAAAGTAGAAATACCAGACACTAAAAATAATTCATTACATAAAAAGGTTTCCTAAATGTTACTTAAGTAAAAGTACAAATTTATTATCATTAATGTGTACTTGAAATATTAAAAGTATAAATTATAAAGTAACACTCCTTTCAGAGTGTTTTATTATCAGTATGTTGTATGACTGGATATTATTACTGAACATAATTAATGTGTCGACAGTTTCAAATACTTTACACTAAAATACACTGATTAGTTTCATAGTAAATTATTGAAACATGTTTAAAAGCTCCTCCTATGTTTGGAACATTTATTGAAAAGCCATTAATAACTTAAGTGTTAAAGTGTTAAGTGATAAATATAGTGAATTAAAAGTAAAAACTGTGTGGTCAGGTGCTGTCTGTGTTTCCTCTGATATTAGTTAAAAAGTTATTTCCTGTAAACTTCTGGAAATTATTTGGAAGTTCAAACCTGTAAAAGACACTGATGTCATGTCCTGTGTTTGTTTCATCACTGAGATGAGTTCATATTATACAATTAAAAACTTACATGTGATGTTTCAGAGGCTGATGCCTGCAACACATTTAAATCTGACTACTGTTAGGCCAAAAATAAAATAAAATAAAACTAAAATAAAACAAAACAAAAATGAAATATAATGAAATAAAACAAAACAAAAAATCAAATCAAATCAAATAAAACCTAAATGAAATAAACTAAAATGAAATAAAATAAAACCAAAA